AACTTCTTTGAATGTTTTGTAGCTTTTTATTAATGTATTGGTTTAGTTGCATTATGTGAAGTTTACAAAAAATTATATCTTGACATACAGATTAGGTATCATTGTCCGGAGGAAGAGATTGCTTTAGGTCCTAGTTGTTGGTTATGGGACTATCTACGAAGAAGTGGAGCATCTGGCTTTTTGCTTCCTCTTTCAGGTGGTGCTGATAGTTCTGCTGTTGCAGCCATTGTTGGTTGCATGTGCCAACTTGTCATAAAAGGTGGGTTCTATGATGTTAATGTTATTGCAGGAATTTCATGTCTATACTTCAGATAGGTAATATATTTTATGAAATAAAAAGGGAATGTACTAAATATTTAGTGTCATCATGTTTGCCACTTAATCCAGCCAAGGTCTTTCTGGTGTCCAATGTGAGTTTGAATTTTTTTAGGAATCCATATCTTGAGTACAAGCAATCTTTCAACTGGAACACCACCGAGTTTGAACTGTAGCACTCTATGCTAGAATTTCAATGATTTCTTTAAGTATCAAATCCTTATTATGACAATCAGGCTGTTAATATAGTTGCTACCTTTTGGTTTGGCACAATGTGATTGTTATCAAATCCTTATTATGACAATCACACTGTGCATAGTTATTGGTCATGTGGCCATGAACGTGAGTGGTATGGTTTGGTACAAACTACAATGTGATTGTTGTGTGCTATGACATGTAGTTTGGTCACATGCACGTGTGCTATAGCTGTAACTTGCTAGTTGGGTATCTACATACCTTACGCTATAGCAAGAAAATCCTTGTTCCAATTAATGCATTAATCAAGATTCAAGATAATGTTTGACTGAGAACTGCACCAGCATTTTGATTAGCCAATTGATAGAACATTGCAGATATTGAAGATGGAGATGACCAGGTAAAAGCTGATGCCCTAAGAATTGGCCAGTATAAGAATGGTGAGTTTCCAACAGACAGCAGGGAGTTTGCCAAGCGAATATTCTACACTGTCTATATGGGAACTGAAAACAGGTATTTATCTGGAAATAATCCGAAAAACACTTTTTACGTTCATATTGATATATATTGTGCAGAGAATCATAAAAAATTTACCACTTCTTTCTGCTGATATATATTGGATACACTCTTTTTCCCACCTCCAAGTAGCAACTTGAATGATGGTCCAAATGAACCCCCTTTTCCATTGATTTCTTGAAACTGATATTTTTTACGTTCATATTGATCCAAGTAATTTGTTACTCTTTTATTTAAGCTGCTGATTCTTTTCGTCGGGGTACCATGCAGTTCTGAAGCAACTAGATCTCGTGCTAAGAGGTTGGCAGATGAAATTGGTTCATGGCACCTAAATGTAGATATTGATAGTGTTGTTTCTGCACTGCTTTCTTTGTTTCAAACTCTTACAGGAAAGCGTCTGCGTTACAAGGTCATTCTTGTGATTGTTACCAAGCATTATTATGTTAAACTCATTTTCTCCTGTTTTCAGTAACATTATCTTTAGGTTACTATTTTAAAATATACCATGATTTAAATATAGTGCAATATATTTTATGATGTCAAAAATGAAAATTTGTGCAAATAAATATCACTGACTGTAAAATTTTGTTTTTCCTTCTGAATGTACAGGTTGATGGAGGATCCAATACAGAGAATCTAGCACTGCAAAATATTCAAGCTCGAGTTAGAATGGTGCTCGCATTTATGCTAGCATCTCTTATGCCATGGGTTCATAGCAAATCTGGCTTTTTTCTTGTGTTAGGCAGCTCAAATGTGGATGAAGGTTTACGTGGTTACTTGACAAAGGTAAAATTTTGTTTTGCTTGTTGGAAAGCTACTACTTCTTGGCTCACTAAAATATTGTGGCTGTTGACCTTGTTTAATTATCAAAAGATCATGGCCTAAACTTGAACCATACCTTCTTAAACTTGAAGACACATTTCAAAAGTCTGGAAAGGCATATATGCTTTTTGCCATTAAGTTCCTCATTGATGAACATCTTATGAACATCCTACTGGATTAGTCGCTTTTGATGTATTTGATTTATTTTATTAAGCTAATAATTTTCAAATGAACAGAAGTGTCTTGTTACTGACAATTTTTTCTGCAAATTCTCCAAAAGTATGACTGCAGTTCAGCAGATATAAATCCGATTGGGAGTGTAAGCAAGCAAGATCTCCGGTCTTTTCTACGTTGGGCTGCAATTCATCTTCACTATCCTTCATTGGCAGAGGTTGAAGCGGCACCTCCAACCGCAGAACTCGAGCCTATCCGTTCTGACTATAACCAGGTATTTTTGCTTACTTCATCTTGTTTTACATTTTATACTTTCAAGTTTCAATTATGAAGTAGCTCCTTACCTCCTTAGTGGAGTAGTCTCCATATCCTTCATCTAATGGTGTATTATTTATATTTTAATGCAACTATGAAATAGAGGAACTAAGATTTGGTATCTATGTAAATCAGTTGGATGAAGTGGACATGGGCATGACTTATGAGGAATTATCGATTTATGGGAGGCTGAGGAAAATTTTCCGATGTGGACCTGTGTCTATGTTTCAGGTGAGCTTGCTGGACCCTATGCTTTGTTCATGTTTATTGAGCTCTCTCAAACTTGAAACAGTGTTTATATACAACAGATGTAAGAAAGATTTTATAATTAAGATTGTGTAGTACTCTTGTACATAGTTTTGTTATATACACGCGTTTTAAGTCTGAACATGTACTAGTGTGCGAAACCAGTCGA